TGAGGGCGCTCATGATGCTGATGATGATGATGGGAATACTGATGGTGACAATGGTAGTGATGTCGAAGATGATGATAATGCTGACGCCGCTGATGATGCTGATGGTGATAATGGTGGTGATCATGAAGATTGCGATGGTGATGGTGCTGTAGCTGATGACGATGACGATGATCTTAACACTGGTGACGATGATAAAACGATGATACTTATGAGAATGCCGATGATGCTGATAATGGTGCTGATCCCATGATGATGGTGATGATGGTGATGGTGATGATGATCATGATGATGATGTTGATGATGATGATGACGATGGTGATGCGGACTGTGATGCTTATTCTGCTTATGCTGCTCATGCTGATGCTGCTGCTCCTGATGATGATGATGATAGTGATGATGATGATGATGATGATGATGATGATGATGATGATGATGATGATGATGATGATGATGCAGATGATGGCCGGCCCAGCATTCTGGGTTGCGACTGCTCGAGGGGACACGGGAGGCCGTCACGCGTGACGCCTCGCGGCCCGAAATTTGGGAGAGCCTTGATTAGAATGATGATGATGCTGCTGCTGATGATGCTCATAATGGTGAGGGTGTTGGTGGTGGTTGTGATGGTGGTGGTTGAGATGATGATCATGCTGGTGATGATGCTGATGACCATGGTCATGACGATGACAATGATGATGACAATAATGATGATAACACGGACGATGTCGAGGATGATGATGGTGATGACGATGCTGGTTATTGGTGGCACTGCAGATAATGATAATAATGACGCTCACAAGCATCAGGAAATTTGGATGATGATGATGACGACGATGCTGGTGGTGATGATGATGACGCTGAGTATGATGTTGATGAGGCTGATGAGTATGCTGATGATGTCGATGCTGATGATGATGACGATGAGGATCGTGATGATGATGTTGACGATGATGATGATGATGACGGTGATGCTGATGACGACAATGATGGTGATGATGATGATGATGGTGCTGATGATGGTGATGGCCGGCCCAGCATTCTGGGTGGCGACTGTTCAGGGGGACACGGGATGCTGTCACGTGTGACGCCTCGCGTCCCTAAGCTTGGGAGAGCGGTGAGTGGGTTTCTGATGATGTTGCTGCTGCGTATGCTGATAAAGAAGGGTGATGATGGTGTTGGTGGTTTCGGTGATTGCGGCGTCTGTGACGATGAGCATGACGATGATGCTGACCATGGTAATCATGGTGATGATGGTGATAATGATGATGGTAATGATGGCAATGCTGGTGGTGGTGGTGGCGATGTAAATGACGATGACGCTGACGCTCACGATGATTAGGATGATGATGGTGATGATGATGACGATGCTGGTGGTGAAGATGATGACGACCTTGCTGATTATGATGCTGATGATGATGCTGATTATGATGATGAAGTTGATGATGATGTCGATGATGATGGTGACGATGATGATTATGATGAGTCTGATTATGATGGTGATGATGATCATGATGATGCTGAGGATGATGCTGAAGTTGATGATGATGTCGATGATGATGGTGACGATGATGATTATGATGAGTCTGATTATGATGGTGATGATGATCATGATGATGATGATGCTGATGGCTGGCCCAGCAGTATGGGTGGCGATTGCTCGAGGGGGCACGGGAGGCCTTCACGTGTGACGCCTCGCGTCCCTGAGCTTGGGAGAGCCGTGATTCGGATAGTGAGGATGGTGCTGCTACTGATTATGATACTAGTGCTGAGGGTATTTCTGTTGGTGGTCATGGTGGTGTCTGTAAGCCCGGGAGAGCCGTCATTGTGATGATCATGGTTTTGTTGCTACTGTTGGTGGTGGGGATGCTGAAGGGGTTTGTGGTGGTGGTGACGGTGGCGTCTGTGATTGTGAGAATTGTGATGATGCTGACCATGGTGATCATTATGATGCAAATGATGCTTACAATGATGATGATGCTGACTTTGATGATGATGATGATGATGCAGATGACGACGATGCTGGTGGTGGTGGTGGCGATGGTGATGATCATGACGCTGACGCTCACGGTGATTATGATGACGATCTCGATGAAGATGATGCTGCTGATGGCGACGATTACAATAACATTGATGATGACGATGCTCGTTGTGATGATGCTGATGGTGATGATGGTGATGTCGATGGTAATGATACCCATGGTGATGATAATGTTTATGATGATGATGCTTGTTCCGATGCTATTGATGCTGATGTTATGATGATGATGCTGATGCTGATGCGGGTGATGATGATGATGCTGGTTGTGATGATGGTGATGATGGCATGCCCAGCATTCTGGGTGGCTACTGTTCGAGGGGCACGGACGGCCGTCAGGTAAGATGCCACGCGCCCCTAAGCTTTGGAGACCAGTGCTTAGGATGATGATCTTGCTGTTGCTGATGATGATAATGATGATGATGATGATTATGATGAGGATTATCATGTGCTGATGATGCTGCTGTTGCTCATGATGGTGATACTAGTGACGGTGTTGGGTGTCGTGGTGGTGGTGTGTTTGATGATGATCATCATGCTGATACTGCTTGTGATGATGTTGCTGATCGTCATCATGGTGATGATGGCATGCTGGTATTGATGGTGATGATGTTGATGGTGATGATGTTGATGATACTTATTCTGAACATGATGAGGGTGGTGGTGGTGGGGGTGATGATGACGATGCTAGAGGTGGTGGTGGCGATCATGATGACGATGACGATGATTATCATGCTGATGGTGATGTCGATGCTGATGCTGATGTTGACGACGATGACGATGATGATGGTGCTGATGATGATGTCGACGATGATGGTGATGATGGTGATTATGTCGATGCTGATGACGATACTGATGACGATGATGATGATGATGATGATGATGATGATGATGATGATGATGATGATGATGATGATGATGATGATGACGAGGATGATGATTGTGGTGATGCTGACTGTGATGATGATGCTGATGATGATGATGATGCTGATGATGATGATGCTGATGATGAGGATGATGATGATGGTTGTGGTGATGATGATAATGATGATGATGATGGTGATGCTTCTGCTGCTGATGCTGATGAGGGTGGAGATCCATATGGCATCTGCGCGTAGGCTGAAATCCTGGCCTTTCTTCATCTTGTTGGAGATGTTGTGGTCTGTGTGTTGTCGGGGGAACGTACCGATTTCGGGCAGATTTGGGTGTCCTGGGGTAGCACGCGTGAGGCGTTCCAGAATAGGCCTCGCCTTCGAGGATCGAAGGAGTTGGCATCTCTTCCTCGGCGGAAGGCGGCGGAAGGCTGGCAGAGGCCGGCGGAAGTAAAACGAGGCCGCCTCCGCCAGCGGAAGCCTGCGGAAGGCCGTCGGAAGCATGCGGAAGCAAAAGTCATCTTTCCAATGTTCAAGGGATCGTTTCTTTATTCATTCTTTTGCCGATCGGCGCGGGCCCCCAAGCCCCCCCTCCCCCCCCCCATAGAGTAGATCTTGGCTGTTTTTTAGCGCCTGTTTCGAGCGGGTGGAGTCTCCCCAAGAGGCAGCACTCCTGCAAACAGTCGCACTAAGCAGAGGTCTGGAGCCAGACCCCCCCCCTCCCCCCTCCCCTTCCGCCCAATGTCGAAACGACGAATAGAAAAACGTTCACCAAGTGAGTGTTCTGGGGTTCAGGCTCTTGCAGGACCCACCACGCGGTGCCGGACACTGATGTCCGCATCGACACGACAGGCATCAGCCCACGTGCGGGCGTGGAGGCCGAGGGTGCTGAGCCACTGGCGGTCCGCCGTGGTATAGCTTCAGGGCTATCTGGCCTGAGTTCTCTGCGAGGGGCCCGCGAGACCAAGGATGGCTAAGGTGGCAATCTCGTGAAAGAACAAGGAGGCCGCAGCTGGCCAGAAACCAGGCAGCTGTAGTCGAGGGATGCGCGCGGTGCGCCCCTGGACCCCGGACTGTCTCGCTATCGCGCCTTGTTCTGTGCGATCCTTTTGCCCGTCCGTCCTGGTTGTGACCCGTCCCGTCCTGTTTTGCCCTCTCCTGTCGCTCGAAGAAAACATGGCATAAACACATATTTACGGCGCTCCGCTCGGATTTCTTTGGTCCGCGCGGATCACCTGGGTCGGCGCCGGGCCCTCCCCGGTGGCGCCTCCGGCGCCGCCCCTGGCGCGCTCCGCGCGCGCCAGGGAGGGGGGTCCAGCGCAGATCCAAGAGATTCGCGCGGAGCACCAAAAGTGTATGTTTACGCACTTGCTTCTTCTTCTTCTTCTAATCTTGTCATGTCTGCCTCTCTTCCTGTCCAGTCCTCTGTTCCGGTCTGTAGCCGCCCGTCTGCCGTTCTGCCCGTCTCTCTCTGTCCCTGGGTTTGCCCAGGCGCCCGCAGTTTTGCGGCAGTTATGCGTACCCCTTGGTCGGTCGGACCGTTTGTCGGTTTGCCTGTTTGCCTGTGTATTGGGCAGCATGAATCCCTTTGATTCTAAGGAGCTTTAGTCTATGTTATTTTCTTCGACATGATGGAAATCATTACCCCTTCTCAGCGGTTCAGGGCGTGGGATCTGCATAACTTCGCCGCAAAACGATTCGTGCTTTTTCGCATGTAGTCTGCATGACGGCCGTGCGGGGCGTTGGAGCTCCACGATCTTGTTCTGGGGATACTCCCGAGTTTTAGAGCACCCCGACGGGCGTGCTGCACGTTGGAGCTCCAGAACTTGTGTGTGGGGGATGGTTTGCGCCTTCCTGAGGTGAATATCGGCGCGCGCGGCGCACCAGAGCTCAAGCATGTACGTTTCGGGGCCATCCGTTGTATTCTGGGTGCGATCCGCATGGTCTCGCGGCAGGGAGGATCCCCAGAGCTGACCTAGTGGCTCAAGGCTAAGGGCGAGGCCTCGACGATAGGCTCCCTACTGCCTAGTTTCACTGTCCCAGGACTCGCCCGTATGGGCCCATGAGCGGTGTCGATGACGACCAGGAACAGCCAGGAGTCCCTGACGTGAGCGAGGCGGACCTCGCCACCATCGAGGCGGAACTCATTGCCGCCGCTGGCCATGAGACCAAGACTGGGAAGATCAAGCAGGTGAACCAGGGAAAGTTCGGGTTCATCGAGCAGGATGAGGGGGGAGACGAGATGTTTGTGATCCCTGGATCGTGCACCAGTTTTGGCAACGCCATCCCACCAGTGGGCACAGAGGTGGAGTATGAGGTCGTGGTGGACCAGAAGACGGGCCGGCCGAGGGCCGAGAACGTTCGGCCTCCGGAGGGCGCCGAGCCTGCGCAGGGTGCGCCTGGCCACGAAGTTCTGCGCCCGCGGCCTCCGGCCGGTCTGGCAGGGTCCGCTGGCGGCGCCGGCACCTTCATCAGCGACCAGGGCAAGTTCGGGTTCATCGAGCAGGACTCCGGCGGGGACAACATGTTCGTGATGCCGAAGTCGTGCGAGGGCGGGGTCTTCCCGCCGCTCGACTCCCGCGTGGTCTACCAGGTCGTGGTCGACGAGAAGACTGGGAGGCCGAGGGCCGAGAGCGTGAAGCTGGAGGGCGGCGCTGCCAGGCACTACCCCGGGGCTCAGTGGGCGGGTGGCCATGGTGCTTATCCGGCGGCCGCGCTGCTGAGCCACGGGCACGCAGCCTATCCAGGAGCCAAAGGATACGCACCCTATCCAGGAGGCAAGGGGCATGCAGCTTATCCAGCTGCCTGCGGCAAGGCCCGCCACCGTTCTGGCCCAGCACTCTAGGTGGCGACTGTTCGAGGGGGCACGGAAGGCCATCACGTGAGATGCCTCGCGCCCCCAAGCTTTGGAGAGCCGTGCCTAGGATGATGCTGATGATGCTGCTGCTGATGATGATGATGATGATGATGATGATGATGATGATGAAGATGATGATGATGATGATGATGAAGATGATGATGGTGGTGATGGTGGTGATGGTGATGGTGATGGTGATGATGATGATGATGCTGATGATGATGATGAAGAAGAAGAAGATGATGATGATGATGATGATGATGATGATGGTGGTGATGGTGGTGATGATTATGATGATGATGCTGATGAATATGATGAGTATGATGATGATGATGATGATGATGATGATGATGATGATGATGATGATGATGATGATGATGATGATGATGATGATGATGATGATGACGTTGATGCTGAGTACTCTGATGCTGACGCTGCTGATGATGCTGCTGATGATGATGACAAGGAGGAGGAGGAAGAGGACGAAAAAGGAGGGGGAGGAGGCGGAGGAGCAGGAAGAGCAGGAGGAATAGGAAGGTCGTCACATGTGACACCTTTCGTCTTCACTTCTTGAGGAGCTCTTGTGGACCTCATTTGGGCTGTCTTGGGGCAGTCTTGAACTCCTGTGGGGCATTCTTCGGGGTCCCTTGGGGTATCTTGGGGACCTTGTGGCAAGTCTTGGGGCCCTCTTAGGCCGTCTTGTGGCTTTCTTGTGCCGTCTTGTGCCGTCTAGGGGCCCTCTTGGCCGTGGTTATCTTGGCGATGCCTTGCGCAGTTGAAGGGCCTTTGAGGCCGTTTTGGGTCTCTCTGGAGGCCCTTTCGGGCGGTCTTGGGTTGTAGGCCTCTTGGGCCATCATCGGCTTCTCTGGGGCCGTCTTTGGACCCTCTTCGGGGCCTCTTGGGCCGTCTTGGGGCCATGATGGAGGCTGCTTGAGCCGTCTCGAGCTAACAGAAACACGAAAAGGTGAGAATGCGACCATCTTATTATGTTGACCTCTTCGGACCCTACTGGGAGTCCTCTTGTGACTTTATCGTGCCCTCTTGGAGGCGCCTCGGGCGGTCTTGAAGCCAGATTGGGCCGCCTTGGGGCCATCTTGGACCGTCTTGGAGGCATCTTGCACCATCTTGGCGACCTTGACAGCCCGCCTCGGCCGTGGCTAGCTTGGAAGCTTGGGAGCGCGGACCCATAGTGTTATACCAGGGATGGTGACCTCGGGCATTCGAGGGTGGGGCCCCCCAGAATATTACAAAACCAGACATCACTTGCTATTCTACCACGCCTCCACGTGCCAGGGGGCAAGGTGGCGGATCCAGGAGCCAAAGGTCACGCAGCGTATCCAGCAGCCAAAGGGCACGCATCTTATCCAGGAACCAAAGGGCACGGAGCTTATTCTGGAGCCAGGGGGCACGCAGCTCTCCCAGCGCTTCCGGGAGCCAAGGGCGGCTGGGGAGGGCGACTTTCTGGCACTTTCATCAGCGACCAGGGCAACTTCGGGTTCATCGAGCAGGACTCCGGCGGGGACAACATGTTCGTGATGCCGAAGTCGTTCGAAGGAGGCGTGTTCCCGCCTATTGACACTCGGGTCAATTACGACGTAGTGCTCGACTCGAAGACTGGAAGGCCCAGAGCAGAAGGTGTAGTCCCGGAGCAGCAAAGCCCCTGGGACCCCCACCAGACGTACACAGGGACCGTCCTTGAACGCAAAAGCACTGACAATTTCGGTTTCATCGAGCAGGACAGCGGCGGGGACAATATGTTCGTCCTGCCGAAGTCCTGCGCCGCCTTTGGAGACCTCATCCCCCCTGCGGGGACCCGCGTGGCCTACAAGGTGGTCCAGGACTCGAAGACAGGACGTCCCCGAGCAGAAGATGTTGAGCCAGAAAGTGGCGAAGGAATTCTCGCCGAGGCTGCGGCACCAGCGGGCGGCGAGACGGGACTGCCGCGCGGCTGGGACGCCGGCACCATCACGGACGTTACCAACGCGGACAAGTTTGGCTTCATCGCGCCGGACGCGGGCGGCAACAACATGTTCGTGATGCCGCGGTCGTGCACGGGATTCGACGGTGCCATCCCTCCGGTCGGCACGCGGGTGATCTACAGGGTGGTGGTCGACACCAAGACTGGCAGGCCGCGGGCCGAGGTCAGGAGGGGCAAACCTATAAAATACAAGCAAACGCTGCGAATCACGACACGGATGGCAACCAAACCCAGGAAATATGAGCACATCTGGGGCGTTCCAAAAATGGGCTTGCCTTCGAGGATACAAGGAGATGTCATCTCTTCGGCGGAAGGCGCCGGAAGGCCGGCAGAAGTAAAACGAGGCCGCTTCCGCGGGCGGATGCCGGCTCGACGGAAGGTGGCGGAGGTAAAAGATGCGGCCCCAAGAGATGAAAACGTTTTTGGGCTCAGGGCTTCCGAGATCGCCAATCCGAAATTGACGGGAAGAGAGGGAAACCCAGGAAACGTGAACACGTATGGGACATCTTGGAATGTGCGTGTCGGTTTATTCGAAGAAGAAAATACGCCGTAAACATACACTTTTTGGCGCTCCGAGCGGATTTTGTTGGATCCGTGCTGGGGCCCCCCAGCGGCGCCTCCGGCGCCGCCCCTGGCGCGCTCCGCGCGCCAGGAAGGGGGGTCCGTCGCGGATCCAAGAAATCCGCGTGGAGCGCCAATTTTTTGTGCTTATGTGGTTGTTTGCTCCTTTATTTATGTTTTTCCCTCCTGGCCCGCTTCACGAGGACCTGCAGCCGGAGGGCGCCGACGTGCAGCCAGTGGCCCCGGAGCCGTGCAAGGGGGGCAAGGGCGGCAAGGGGGGCAAGGGCAAGGGCCTGCCTGGCTCGGGGCCCTTCGGCCATCCTCGAGGAAGGAAACACGGCATACGCTTACGCTGGCGAGGAGGAGGAGGAGGAGGAGGAGGAGGAAGATGAAGAAGAGGGCTCCGCGCGGATTGCCTGGATCGGCGCTAGGCCTCTCTGGCGCCGCCTCCGGCGTCGCCCCCACTGCGCTGCGCACGCCAGGGCGCGGGACCAGTGTCGATCCGAGGAATCCGCTCTGAGCTCCAGAAGTTTATGCTTACAGTGGAGGCACATGCCAAGAAACACCCTGCTTGCCTCCAGGGTGCCCTGGGTTTCTTGGGTGTCGGACGGTTGTGCTATGGAAAGCGCGACGCTCCCACACCAAAAATCGATGGACGTCCTGGGGTCTCAGGGTTGAGTTTCTTGTGGAAGGTCTCTTGTGGTCGGGCTCCTACTCTACGCTGGCTTGGAGCTCCGAGCGGGTTGCCTGGCTCGGCGCCGGGGCTCCCCGGCGGCGCCTCCAGCGCCGCCCCCGGCGCGCTGCGCACGCCAGGGAGGTGTGGGGGCCCGCGCCGATCCGAGAGATCAGCTCTGAGCTTCGGAAGTTTATGCTTACCCATCGGTCGTTGAAAGTAGGTATTCTTGGATTCCCAGAGTCCAATCTACTTTAAGCGCCTTCCCACTTCAATGATCAAGTGGCTTCCTCTCTTCCCTCCTCTTCAGGGGGCTGGCGGAGACCCAATCTACTTCCAACGCCTTCCTACTTCATGCTTCTACCTGCTTCTTCCGACCGATGGGTACGCCGTTTTTTCTTCCTCTACATCCAGCGTCAGGCCCGCCAGCTCTGATGGCCGGGTTGAGCTGGGCAGGCTGCGGCGGGTACGGGCCGGCTGGCGGCCCCAGCGGCGGCAAAGGCAAGAAGGGCCGCGCTCACCCGTATTGGTAGTGACAGTCTACGAACAAAAAAACATGGTGGCTGGGGATGTCCAGCGGTCTTGCGAGTGTGCAACCTTGTGGACACGCAGTGCATCATATCGGCGCCGCCCAGACATACCTCCAGATGCGCGTCGGCCACGCAAGGGCGACGCGCACGCTCGGAAATCTGACAGCAGAAGTTCCGTGGCGGGCGCTTGCCGGCCATACCGGTCGGGAAACGACCTCCTGTTCCGGTCGGACGTGCGTCTCCAACGGAGGCACATAGTATTAGCATGTGCTCATACGTCCCGTCAGGTTGCAAAGGCCTTGCGACCGCTTCTGCCGACCTTGAGAAGTGAAGTGCTTGGGAACAAGGGGCGGGAGGAGGACGAGGGCAAGGGGCAGTGCCGGCTTTCAGGCGATTGCGAAAATAGGATGGTTTTTGGCCCATCCCGTCACTGCGCCTGGCTTCTTCTCAGTGCCACCTTGTGGACACACTGCGCATTGGATTTCCACTGCATGTCCGATGCGCAAGGAAACCCTCGCGTTCGGGCGGTGCGTGCTAGCTCCAGGCTCTGTCTGGGCAGTTTATCAGAATCGTCCGAACGCAGCCCTGACGGGCGTGGAGCACAAATCTCATACCTTCGACGAGCTGTTTTGGTTCGAATCGCAGGCCCGTGGACCTCCCGACCCCTTCGCGTGCCGTTTTTGACGGTCCTCAGGCTTGGAAGTGGCCTCCCGGGGCCGAATATTACGACTCGCATTTGCAGCGAGATATTCAAGTCGCCAGGAGATTTGGAAATTGAGCTTCAGAAGTTATCCTCTGTGTCGGTTCGTAAACTTCGCGGATGCACCCCTCGTGCTGTGGACGTCGAGATTCCATGAATACGATTGGGACGATTATTTGACGATGTTCTGACTGCACCGCTCACTGTCGCGGGAACAGTGGATCAGTAGGATGAGTAGAGGGAGGAGGGGGACGCTTAGCAGGATAATCCGGACCGGGGGCAGGAGGAGGGAGGAGAATGAGGGGGCGGAGCGAGAAGAAGAGGAGGAAGAGGGAGAGGAGGAGGCTGGCAAGCCGTTTCCTGCGGCGGCCTTTTTGCTTGCGGAGTGGAGCCTCGTGCGCGGCGCCTTGAGCATCAGAGCTGGCGTGCTCCCCGAAGCTCATTCGAGCTCATCGTTTGCTGACCACCCTAAAGCGTCGAATAACCATATTAATAATGAAGAATGACAGCGATAAGAAGAGTCATACTGATACGGTTAATGATAATGATGATGACCGTAATAAGAATAATCGTACACTGCATTTTCGTAATAATACAAATAAGGAGGGGAGGAAGAGGAGGAGGAGGAGAAGAAGGAGGAGGAGGAGGAATAGGTTGGGAACGAGGCAGGAAGGGAGTGGTGGTGGAGGAGGAGGGGTAGGAGGAGGAGGGGGAGGAGGAGCAGGAGAACGGAGGAGGAGGAGGAGGAGAACGAGAAGGAATAGGAGGAGGATGAGGAGGAGGAGAAGAAGCAGGAGGGGAAGCAGGAGTTCAAGCAGGAGCAGGAGGACGAGGTTGAGGAGGAGGAGGAGGAGGAGGAGGAGGAGGAGGAGCAGTCAGGAGAGCGAGGAGAGGCATGAGCAGGCCTCCTTTCCGCAGGTGGCGTCTTTCGGCTACCCGCACAAGCCGAACGCCGGCGCCGACGACTACGACGACCTCCTGCCAGTGGCGGCGCCGGAATCCATAGGCTCCCGGCAGCCGCCGACGGCGTCGATGCCCCCCAGGAGCTCACCTCTGTCGAAGCAGAAAGACGGCATGATCATTTTGTTTCGTGGCTCCCCTCCCAGACATACATGCCTGCGTCGTACTAGCCCCTGCCAGACATGCTTGCGTCGTAACAAGAACGCGACCAGAAGTTTTGGTTCATTTTCGGGCCCGGGGGGGCCCTTGCCAGGCCCCAGGACCGTCAACAACGACTCGGGATGAAAAACTGGCCCTGGGGAGAGGGTCGGGACTCCCAGGGACACCGTATCGAAGCAAGTCAGGGCATCGCATGTCTGGGTATGAGCATTGTGCATTCTGCTTCGCGGTTCCCACCTTAGGTGTTCCCCATTGGGTCGTGCGCCCGCGGAGAGGACCCTTTTACGAAGAATATTCCCCTTTGCCTCCTCCTCCTCCTCCTCTTCCTCCTTTCCCTCCTCCTCCTCATCCTCCTCCCCAGCCATTTGCTCCTCCTCGCAGTGTTCGGCGACAGCGGGCCCGCGCATGGGATCACATCGCTCGCGGTCGCTGTCCATCCCAGGTCGCTGAAGCTAGGTGTCCGCGCGCATTTCTCGGGTAGGTGCTGAACCCCTCCTGGTGGCGTCTCCGACGCCGCCCCTGGCGCGCTTCGCCCGCCATGCAGGGAGGGGGGTCAGCCCTGGCCCAAGAGATTCACACGGAGCCCCGCCAGTTTGTGTTTGTTTTTGCTGTTCCTCCACTCGAAGTCTCGGATGCTCGAGGGGCGAGGTTCTTGCAGGTCCAGTCGCCCATGTTGTGCCTACTGGGGGCTCCTCGTCGCCACGACTGGGTTCGCGCTGGTCGCGCTCCGAGAAAACCCAGCGCCAGGACGTCGGCGGTGATCCTCATCCTCTTCTCCATTCTCCCCTGGCCTCTGCGGCATCTCGAAGTCTCTAGGAGGTCTCTGGCGGTCTCCACATGGTGTGGAGGTCCGGCACACATGTCCCAAGCGTCATACCATGTGGATCCTCCTCCTCCTCCTCCTCCTCCTCGTTATCTAGACTCCGTAACTGGGCTTCACGTCCCGCATGTTCTCTCGGCGCTCCCAAAGGCAAGGCGGGTGCGCCATGGCGCTCACCAGCGCCTCGAACGTGTTGGCAAAAATCATGGCGGAGCGTGGTTAACGATTCGGCCCATGGAGGCCCGTTTCGGGGCCTAGGACTGTCGAGCAACGGCTCGGGATGGAAAGTCGGTCCCTTGCAATGGAACGGGAGGTCTGGGCCCAGCGTCTAAGGCAAATTCTGGCATCGGAGGTCAGAGTATGTAGTTCATGGCAACTCCGCGTCTTAAGAGCAGGACGTTTTTTGTTGGTCTCAGGTTCGGCTCAAGAGCCGTGGCTGGTAGAGCGTGGCAGCGAGGCGCTTAGGTCTAATTCATCCGTTTTCTCCCCCGCTTGTGAGCAGTCGACCTGTCAACCTCCTCCTCCTGCTCAACCACCCCTCTAGACCTCCTGAGTCTGAGTGGGGCCTGAGCAAGAGGCAACGTTCCAAGATCGCACCGCATTGCGGTTGCATCGGCGGTGCGGCGCGATTTGGGACCGCAGTAAGTCCATGCTGACGTCGCCGATACATCGGCGATGTTTGTGCGATCTTGGGGGCTCCGTCTTCTCCGGCCCTATGCGAGGTGCCTCTCTTCTCCTCCATTAACCCCTTCCTTATTACTGCTCATTCTCCTCTCTCCTGCCGCTCTTCCTCCCCCTCTCCTCTCCCCTCTGCTCCTCGTCCTCTTCCTACTCAGTCCTCTGCTGCTCCTCGCGATCCTCGGCATTCCCTCGCCCCTGACCCGTCGTCATCGTCCCTCCTACCGCTGCCTTGCCTCCCCCTCGCAGTCCCTCTCACTCCTCCTGGTCGCGGACTGAGGAGGCGACTGAGAATGCTGTGACCTCCTAAGGTACCTTTATGTTATCGTCTCGCTCGGCGCCGTGTACGTATGTACCTCACCTCCTCCCGCCTCCTGCGTGTCCGCCGATTGGTCTTCCTCATTTGCGCTCGCATTCCGATGCTGCTGCTGCTGCTCCTCCTTTTTCTCCTCCTCCTTCTCCTCCTCCTCCTCCTCGTCCTCGTCCTCCTCCTCCGCCTCCTCCTCCTCCTCCTCATCCCTCCCCCTCCTCTTTATAGTCTCTCGTCTTCCCTTTCCCCTCGTCCCTCCCCTGGCCGCTGCGGCTCCTTCTCCCGCTGCCGCTCCTCCCTCCCCTCGTTCCTCCTCCTCGTCCCTCCCCCCTCCTCCATTCTCCCCATGGGGTGTGGTTTTACTAAGCGGGGGCCACAGACATCGCTTTCCTCGTGTTGGGCACAGTACCGGGGTAACAACTAGGCGACGTGTTATACAACCATGTGATGGCGGATTGTGTGAGCGCAGCAGTACACGAACTTACTTGTATGGGTTTCCCCTTGCCTGTGCCGACGGCCATGGATGCCTCGCTTTCCAATTTGTTGGAACAAGCGGAACCACGGAGGCCCCGGCCATAGATATCAATTTCTTTGACGATGGGGCCTTCGTGGTCTTGGGCTCTGCGGTCAAGTTGCTGGATACCACCTCGGAGATCGTTCGCATTGCCGTGGACTCTTTCCTGCGCGGCGGCCTTCGTTTGAATCTCAAGTGGGGCAAGACGGAATGCCTTTTTCAGTTTCAAGGCCCAGGCCCAGGCTCAGCGCGGGCTCTTGGAGGCATGTTGGAGGCTATATTGGAGCATCGTGGGATATCTTGAGCGATCTTGGCAGCCATCTTGGGCTCTGTGGATGGGGATGGGGATGGGAACAGGGATCGGTGAACTGATACTGACTCTTGCCATCGCTCGGACGTCCATTCCCCTTGCATTTGTCGACATCGCGCGTTTATGTTTCGCTAGATGATCCTAGATGCTCCTCGATGATGGTCCTCGCCGAGAAAGAGATGCACACGTCTGAGCGATGCCGAGGACTCACAGCTCCTCGGGCGCGGCAGACGAGCCAAGCGCCGCCGCCCTCAGCCGCAGCATATCCCCCACTGGGGTGGTGGGATGGTGAGGATCGGGATGGGGATGGGGATGGGAATGGGGAGCGGTTAAACGCTACTGGCTCACAGCTCGGGCGCGGCGGGCGAGCCAAGCGCCGCCGCCTTCAGCTGCAGCATCCTTTGCTCCGCCGTCGCGCTCCCGCCGCCCCGCAGCGCGCGCCGCCGGCCAGCCCGCGGGCGGCGGCGCAGCGCTCTCCTCGTGCTGATGCACTGCCGTTGCCGCTCCCTCCTGTCCTCCCCTCCTCGCCCCGGGCCCCTCCTCTGCGGTGGGCCGGCCAGGAGCCACCCCGGGATGGGCCTGGGGCAGCTCCCCACCATCGCGTCCTCTGGCGAGTCCGCGCTGGCGGACTCCCCGGGCCCGCGGGACGAGAAGCAGGACGCGGCTGGGGAGGGGCGGGGTGTCGAAGATGGCCGCTCGTTCCATGCCTCGAAGAAGAACGCACGGCATCAGCATGAATGTTTGACGCTCCGCGTGGGTTTCTTGGATCTGCGCTGGAGCGCCCTGGCGGCGCCCTGGCGGGACGAGAAGCATGCCTTCCGGGCCAGCGGCGGGCCTCTCGGAGGGGCTCAGGGAGAGGAGGAGGAGGAGGAGGAGGAGGAGGAGGAGGAGGAGGAGGAGGAGGAGGAGGAGGAGGAGGAGGGGGAGGGGGAGGAGGAGGAGGCGGAGGAGGAGGAGGCGGCGGCGGAGGAGGCGGAGGTGGAGCAGGCGGACGAGGCGGAGGAGGAGGCGGAGGAGGACGAGGAGGGGTGTCGACGATTGACGCT